CTTCATACGAATACGAATGTATTTCAGTGTACCGAACTCTGAGTAGTATTTGTACTTATTTAAAAATGCTTTACAGTTACAAAAATAGTATAAACTGAATGTTGCTTTTGTATTCATAATTCGATTTTTTACAGAATAATGCCAAAATCTGGTCAGTAATGTTTATATTATTATATTATATTTATTTGCTAATATAATATTGTACACATAAACAACTTTTTTTCTAGCCCCTTTTTCGAGAAAGTATGTTATTTATATACATAAATGTTTAGAAAATACTCTGGAGAAGTTTTTATCGAAACCGTTACAGTCGTTTTTTTTTTTTTTGCTTTAGCCTATAGAGTAACGTTTTTTTTTTTTTTTTTGCTGACATCATCAAACAAAATAACGGCTGGTGATGAAGATCTAAATCTTTTTCTGACGATTCTCAGACAATATTTACCATTTATAACAAACACCTGGTAAGTCTCTATTTACACACTAACATTGTTTATTCAGGGGACGGGATGGCCAAGCGGGCTAACGCGTGTGTGCACAGTACCGCGCGTTGATCGACACCATGATAAGTAAATCTATAAACGACAACATAATTGGGAGTTCGCGTTCCGGTGCAAGGAGGTCTTTTAACTTCGGATTAATCCCACGCCCTCATCCTCTATTTCGGGAAAATCCTGTATAGCCTACAAGGCAAGGAAGTGTAGAACAAAAAAAATTAAATAAAAAAAATTGTTTACTTAATGTCCAAATAGGAATGCAGATTTTATTTTCATTTCAAACGTGACAATGGAAACACGCCATTTTCAAACGATCTATTTTTGTTCAAAGTCCGCAGCCAGGCAGCAAGGAATATTGATAAATCATGATGAAAGGAGTTGTAATGAAAGAATCGTTCGTCGTTGGTCTTTTTAATTTTTTTTACAAACTAACGATGTTAGAGAATCTACCAGTCTACCCTGTGGACGGCTTCCAATATCAATCGAGGATGAAAGTCTTAAGAAAGCTGCGGAAAAAACAGTCAGAGAATATGCGTCTCATCTCCGTAAAAATCAAATTACCGTTTCCAGACGTTTAAAATTGATCGGAAAGATGAAGAAACTCTTTTTTTTTTTTTGTTCTTCCCTACCTCGCCTTTTAGGCTATAAGGGATTTTCCCGGGCCGGGGGGTGAGGGCGGGGAATTTAAAATCCACCGGGAAGCGAACTCGTACTTTTTATATCATCTCAAATCTCTGTTATCCGGTTGCCAGGCAACTAGCAGTGCTGTGCACACGCTTTAGCCTATTCGGCCACCCCGCCCCCTAGATGAAGAAGCTTGATTTCCGGTCCCGCACGAGCTGAACGAACTTAAGCAGAGATTTGTCTTTCTTACCTTTTGGGCTATGGAGTCCTACTACATCTCCCAAGTTCATCTGATGTATCTCCTGCAGATTAACATATTTTTCAGAGCTTGCAAAACTTTATGAGAGAAACATTGTTTTACAATTATTCAATTCTTGACCCAAACTTTTTCAAATCTGGGATAGAAAATTTATTTAGTTGATGGTAAACGTGTATTGAAAAATATAGTGAATATATATTAATTTATTTATTGAGTATAACAACAATCTGTCACTTGGACATTAGCTATAGGTAGAATACCATTCACACTAAATGTAAAAAAAAAGTATAAAATAATTATAAGCAAAATATCAATAAATAATAATCAGAAAGTATATACAATGGAAAGTATATACTGGTACTAAAGACAGCGGAGATTGATCGAGAGCACTTTAGCCACATAGACTCATATCTTGAGTAGATAATCTGTCCATTGCCAAAACTCCAATATATACAATTTACAAAAGGTCGCGGGAGAATGCCGTTTCAACCTTCTTGGAGGATTACAGAGATGATTGTGCAAGAGGATTTGGATTATACGTAAGATTCTGGTGAACTTTGGAGAATTTTTCTGGAATAAGGTCTAGGACAAATGGGATGTTAAGGTTATGATGTATGGTTTTGTTGGTTACATAGAAAAGAACAGTGACTATTGTTCGAAGGACTTTTGATTGGAAGGATTGGATGCGTTTGATGTTAGATAATTTTGATCTGGCCTAAATGTCTAATGATCAAAATTTCTTCGTTTTAACTACTTATAATTTGATTCATTTTGAAGAATTAACTATCTTCCATTTTTAGCAGCAATAATAAAAGGCCAAATATAAACTATGGAAAATTTTGATACTTGATTAAAAGTGAAAAAATGAGCAATGTTTATTTAGGTCCAAAATGAATTTCCGGAAATAATAGCCAGATAGTAACTCTATAATATATCATTGGGATGCTGAGAATTTTCGAAAAGACAATATTCAGCATAAAAATTCGTAGAAGATAACGGAGAGTGACGAAAAATTAAATATAATAATTTCTGAAAACTAATATTATTTAAAGGAAACCACATGCTTCAAAGGAAGTCAAACAAAATTTCTTAACAGAACGTAAAATTTTAAAATTATTTAAGTTTAAAAAAAAAAAGGTATATAAAATTCAACAAATCTTTTTTTTAATATTTCTTTTTGATTACAAATCTATATTTTATATCTCTATAAAAGAAGCAGTAAAATATATAAATATTTCATGGATGTGTATAATATATATTTATAACATTAAATATATTTACTGTAGTTTAATAACTCTTGATCCGATATTATATTTAAATAATTAGGTATCATCCATTCCAAAAAATCATCATATAACCTTTTAGAAAATTAAATTAGTGAATTATAAAATAATGTTTCTCTATGAAAACATAACTTCATCTAATTACAATTAGTGTGACAACTTTCGACTCCATTTTAGTAAACCTCACAACGGAAAATAAAAGTTTGATAACCAATAGCCATACAATACATAATCATTCATAGGTTAAATATACATATGTACTTTCTAGAAATATATAGCACAGAGACTGAAGTTATTATCTATACAAAAACAGACGGATTTCATTGCCTACCGTCGATATAATAAATAGGGTTTGTGTAATAATTTTGACCCCAATGAGTAGTTGTAGCTTAACTGTAAGATTTAAGGCTTATCTCCGTTAAAAGTGCACTTCAAAAACTTTGTAATACCTCAGTATTGCCAGAAAATAATTTCTATTCGAAATTGATCTGTAGTGAAAGTTGTGTGACGCGCGCACCAGATTTTTGTAATATTTTCGTTTATCATAAATCGTCATTTATCATTTTTATAAATAACTGAAAATTTGTATTATGTTGATAGTTTGGTTTTTAACAAATATTTCACAGTATGTTTTTTACCATTAATAAATTTATATTTTTATGATAACGGAGATGATACGGGGCGGTGGTCATAAAAATACTAAAGTAGTGATAAAACTATTTTAGTTCAAGCCAATATATCGACCCGACTTTGCAGATATTCTTCAGGGGGGTGTATATAGCATGGAGTTTCGTTTGAAACTGATTCATCATTTATGAAACTGAAAACCATTTATATTTTTAGTTTAAGTTTTTTGGATCACATTTTTTTCAAATATTTTAGTTAAGATAAAAATAAAGATAAAGATAAAAAACCGCCAAGATAAAAAAAAAAATTATTTCATTTTTCATCGTTCCTCCAATATCTTCTTTAGTTCAGAAATTTTAGTAGACACATTAGAGTAAATGAATATTTTAGCTGTCTTATTGAATATTTGGACCTTTTTCCGCTGCATATTTGATCATTTATTGCTGCATATCTGAAGGTTTTTCATTATATGTTATATGGAACATTTCGTGAGATTTTGCTGTATAAAAATCACTGCTTTGCTGATAACTTAAGATTTAACACCAATAGACATCTCAAGTAAACAGTATTTATTTCTGGAATAATTAGCTGTTCAGTAGTTGCGTCAAGATCAACTAACCACCCCAATAGCAAATTGCTAGAGCATCTTAAGCGTATTGACGGCAGTGATGGTGACACGACATGCAAACACTGCTACCTGTCCCGATCAAAGCACCAATCGAATAAGCTGCTGATGAGAGAGGTAGCAAACAGTTTGCGGAACATTCAGCATTTATCAACCGAATGTCTCTTCAGTAAACAGGCTTCAATTGAGGTATGTTTGTTCATCAAGAGCCAAGTTAAATTCGGCAAGCCAGTGTTCAAGCATTGGAAGCATCTTACTCTAATGTTGTACGAGAAGCACCCTATAATTCCAATTTATACTTGAGTATTCAGTACTCAAAATCTATTTTAATTTATATTTATGAAAGAACCCCTATGAAAACTAAAAAAAAAAAAAAAAAATATCAACATGCACTTCTTCACAAATATAATAATAGTTCGTATCATTTACTACTGGAATGTATTTTTCTGGAAACCTAACAAAAAAATATATCTCCTAGTCTATTAGTCCCCAAATCAGAGTTTGTATTAAATTATTAACATGAATAAATTTTCGTGAATGGCTTCATCTACAACTTTTTTATCTACAAACACATTTATTAACGCTGCATTTCCTCATTAAATTAATTAATTCAATGATTTACCAAAAACTAATCAATATCATTTGCTTTCCACTTGAATCGTTAGATAAGTTGATCACAAAATCGAGGAGAAGGTGGCTTACAAAAATATTAGACATTTCCGCTTATAATATAAGTTATTTTGACATATGAAGCATAGAGGTCACACTAACACGCCAAACGGCTCAATATTTTTGTTAAACATCCTTTTTCTCAATTTTGGGATGAGATTATCTTACAATTCAAGAGATTGTACATGAGTTTTTAGTACCTCATCAAATACACAAAATTTACTGACCTAGAGATTTTCCACATTTTCTACAATTTTCGTAACTAAAAAAGGTTTTGATTACGATAAGATGATTATCGTTATTCGTGAACTTTTAGACAGAATGTTGGAAACAGTAGAAATGATTAAGGAGGCTGTAGCGAGATGCTACATAAATCACATATTTTCTAATTAAAACATAAAAAGTTTTTTTTTTTATTTCAAACAATTGAATTGTGCCCTTGCTTATAAAAATAATATTTTTAATAAAAGAATATCAGTGCTGTGTATTTTCTTTGTTCTTTTATCTTTGTGCGTGCGAGTAACACAGATGTTACTCGTTTGATAAAATTGGTCTGTGTGTACCGCGGCGTATATAAAGTGTTCCGTAAGTAGTGGGAAATATTTATAAGGAGATCTCAATAGCGACATAAAAGTTTATATAAATAATTGTATGATTTTCAGTAGAAAATCATGTTTGTTTGTTTAGTTTTTTCAGCGAATCTCTTATTTTGTTGAACAGAAAGTAAAAAAATTCAGTTTAAGTAAATGACATTTACTTTACAGTAAACTAGATAAAATTTACTCAAAATGAATGTAGAGTTGGTAATTGTTAAAATCATTTAATGAAGATTTTTCATCGGATAAACTAGACTAAGTTCTGTTTATTAAAAAATAATGAATTATTCGGAGTTTTTTTTGGGAGAGAGGGAGTTAACATCCTACAACTATACTACAGACACTCCACTTTCAGGAAAACTTTTTTTTTTTATATTCTTTCAGTCTATATTAAGATGGAGTTTATTTTGGAATATTACGAGATTCAACTTTAGTTATGTGGAAAAATGGTCGTACTCTGTTACCTTAAAGTAACCGTTTTTTCGGCAAAAATACTAGAACATAATAATTTAAAGACTTTAATTTATTAATTTTTTTACATTACCCAGGAAGTGTTGTATTATAATAAATATATATGTATTTATAATAAATATATCTGTATAAGTGCAAATTTTATTTACAAAAAAAAATCTATGAATTTTCAAATATTTATCACCTGATAAAGGCAGGTTAAGGATAAAGGCAGGGGTTTCATGGCCCCAGTTGCGCCCTCTCAAAATTTTTGAGAGAGTTAAATTTTGAATTTTTGAGGGGTGTAAATTTTTTTCGGAGGGGGGAGTTTTCGGACTTTGACGACAAGAGAAAAAGACAGATTGCAGCAAGTGTAATTGAATATGATCTACAATCTTTCTAATTTTGCTCTGTTTTTAAGAAACGGTGAGTAATAACGTATCTAGGAAGGAGGGAGGGATAGATTATTGCGCCATCAACCTTGGAGGGGATGGGCACCCCTGCCTAAAGGGATACTTAAGATGTATTATTTACCAAGATATCTATTATAGGAATTGATACAAATTCATATGTGAAATTCATATTAAATAAATTGAATTTTAATTTAACGCTCTCTTTAAAATGATTCAAGCAATCAGTAGGTTTCCATATTTTTAAACGTAAATATTAAGATTAGAAACATTTAGTTAGTCACATATAAATTCGGATCAATTCTTATAGAAGATATTTTTGGTAAAAACTAGGTTTATTATAAACAAACATTATAGGTTTAGAAGATTAATATTCGAAAAATCATTATTTAAAAAAAATGTGTATTCATGCATTTACGTTAATTAGAATACACCTCAGCTGATAGAAAAATAATTAAAGCTTTGCTTTATTGTAGTCATTTTTGATGAATACGCTGGTACTTTCAGGTGTCACGGTATCAAATCATCTCACTGTTTTACGTAACTAAAGGGGAATCCCAAAATATTCCATAACTAACCCCAACTTAATTAATACGGACTTGGGAAAGTGGGTTATCTGCAGTATAATTGCGAGTGATACGAAAATCGCGAATAATTCATGTATTTTGTTTTGTTTTTTATAAACAGATCTCAGCCTAGTTAATCTCCTTTAAATTCCCGTCTAAATTATTTTTAAATAAGTTGAATTGGAGAATGATATCCCTGAAATTTCGTAAAACACGCGTTATTTCTTCAAATAACGCCCCTATATATCAAACATTTTCTAACACTTTTTTTTGGAAATTTTAGTGTTTTAAATATTTTGTACGTTTGAATCTATTGTTAAATTTCATCTAAGTAATATAAATAATTTGAATGGGCTAAAATGACCCGTAAGCGGTTGAGGAGCCCCCATTGTAATAGATAAATACATAATTTCAACAATGACAAGCACTTAAATTATTTCTAGGTTACTGTAAAGCGATTGCTAATTTCTTGCATTAAATATATTTTTACTTATCGCCTCCTATTCAATAAAACAAGTTGCTTACATAAAAAAAAAAAAAAACACTAAACTTGAATTTGCTATTTTCCTGTCTGGCAACCTGATAACCTAAGCTAGATATGGAAGAAAATTATGAGTTCCAATCGCGGTGCCGGATGGAGCTTTTAACTCCATTCCCCCGCGCTCTCTCCCAGCTCTAAAGGCAAGAGAGATGAGAAAAAAAAATTTAAATACTCTTTAACCTGTTCGACTATTCCTACCTCATGAATTCAATTATAAATTACATTTTATTATTATAATTTAATTAATATTAATATTTTATTTTATTTTCAGGTACTACGGGTATTCGAGCGCCTACGAGCTGGCGAACTGAACACAAAGCTGCTAGAACGCTTGGTATCATCATGGGTGTATTCATGATATGCTGGTTACCTTTCTTTTTATGGTAATATCTTTACAGTTAAATTATATTTTAGACATATTATATAATATTGAAAATAATCCTTATGTTAAACTATTACTAACTATTTTTGTCAGGTTTTAATAATATAGTTTTATTATTAATTCAAAAATACATACATTTTTGTATATTTTGCCCTATTTATATGCTCTTTTTATATGGGACAATTCCCAAAAGACGAATAAATCTATATATTAGAAATTATATCCTATTATTTCAAATCTAAAATTATCAATTTTACCACTCATTACGAATTACCTGGCCCATTTGTTACAATAGAATCTGACTCTTCATATAAAATAGAATCTATACATTTTTCATAAATCGTGATATATATTATAATACAATAATCTTCGATTTCATCGTACAGAATATCAGCAGAATACAGAATTCGCCAGCGGAAAAAAATGTTATTTTATTTAATATTATCAACGCCATGGCTCTCTTGGTCTTCCTCTCCATCTTGTTCCATTGTACATCTTCTTTTTCCTATCCATTTTTATTTCTGTTTAATTATTTCGAGATTGATAGGAAGCTGCTCAGTGATATTCTAGAATTCTTCATTAGGAATCCTCTCAGGCCACCAGATTCCCAAGATACTTCGTACGCAATGGTTGATGGTTGAAAGGTGTTACGTAATGGTAATGATTTCAGCCACCTTCTATGTTACACTGCCGTAAAGTAGGGCTGATTTTACGTTGGTGTTAAACCAGTTTATTTTTGTTTTATTGGGCAATCTCTTTCATATTGTTTACAGTTGAACGAGCACCCTATCAGCTTTTTTATTCGACTTATTCCGTAGGTTTCTTTTATTTTAATATTTTTTTTTACATCTTGTAAGGAACTTCACTCATTGGTTATCACACTTCCCAATTAGATTAATGATTCCACTCGTTCTATGGTTTTTTCCCTCAGAACAAGTGAATTCCGTCATCATCCATTCACTTACCGTGAGAGGATACATAATTCTTTGTTTTGTGATTTTTATTTTTTAATTCTTTAGGATAGTTTATTTGTATAGTTTATTTCTTAGAGCACAAAATAGAGATGTCTATAACAGTCAAAATTTAGTTTATTAATAACAGCACATAAGATGTATAAATTAGCTTAAACATATATTAGTCGAAACTAAATTACAAACTTGCCAGTATTTTTTGTAGAAAATATAATATTTAAAAAAAACAGAGATTTCATTTTAAGTGCTACTTTATGAAACACGTTTTGATAGAAGATATTTAACTGAGTCAGATTTAATTAAGAGATCTTTTTGCCTGAGATGACGGAGGCCCCTCATTAGCAAAGAATAGGAAGGTTGTCTCCTCGGCCTCTTCTTCATTAAATGAGAGTTCTTCCAGGGTCGTCATCCTCTCCTCCTCAGCTTAATTGGAAAGATGGAAATAAAACTGGAAGACATTAAGGACACCTGCCGACTTGTCTGCAAATCGATGGATGGCTCCTCCCGCTTAGTTTAGAAATTTGGAAGCATAAATCGAGACAAATATCCAATAACCCTAAATTTATTCAATATCATTTATTCATACCTATCTCCTATAAGGTATAAATAAATTCTTAAGTAGTTAATGTTATATATATAGCAATAAATACTATATTGCTAATTAAAGATAATTTGCTTTTTGAGATTTTATACTAAACGGAGTCGTTTATTTTGGCTGAATAGTTAGATATATGTATTGATATTTGACTAACTTGCTATAAAAGCTATACTGTAGCATCTTTTGCCCTTTTAAAATTATTTATTTTACATTTAAAAGTGGTTGTAGAAATGGAATATTAAAATTAACGCTACTAAATCAAACAACCAAGTTTATTTCTAAGAAAAGCTTCATGCCCACCACTGACAATAAACCAGTGTCTATAAAAAATATAAATGCTACCTCGGACTTAAACAAAAGACTGAATTGGAATATGCACAAGACCTGAGAAGACGATATAATCCATTACCACATCAACTACATACACTTACTTAACTTACGAAACAAGCGACCAATCTACAACTCTATAACGCAGACGTGCCCACAAGCAGATAATAGTTGAGGTATCAAAATTTTTGAGAAGGCATTTTTCAACAAGCCGCAGCAAGTGTATTTGTAAAGGAAACGTGGCAGCCGAGCGAGTTAAAGCGTGTGCGAAACACGCGTTGCCCTGTAACCTACAACATGATAAACTAAAGTAACAAGGTACAAAATAATTATGTGTTCGCGTTTCGGTGCCGAGGAGCTTTCAACTATGGCATTATTCCCCCGCCCTCTATCCTAAAAGGTAAGGAAGGGGTGGACTACAAAAAAAAAAAAAATGCTATTTTATATGATGTACGATTTTTTTTTTAATTTTACTTTCATTGGCAGTATTTTGAAGAAAAGCAGGGCAATAAAATATATTGGGCAGGAATGGGAGAAAATTTCATGCGCCATCGCGACCTAGGGCAATAAACATGAGAGTAATTGGCAATTCTGCTATACTCAGACCTATTTGAAAATAGGGAGCAGAACTATAGTAGTCATCGAAACTAACACACATAAACAAAACAATTAAAAATTCTATATTTCAAAGAAGACTATACATAACTATTAAAACATTTTAACAATGAAATCCTACATCCACTAAAACTACATTACATTTCACTTTCTAATCCAAAATCACATCGATCCACTCGTTCTATAATCATAAATTACCAATGAAGGTTTCTTACTCCGTGCCAATGGATACTTAATTTTAATTTCATATATATATACAAAAACTCGGAAAGCCCCAAATTTCTCTTATGATAATTAGAATTAAAGAAAAGTGGTGGGGACGGAGCTATATCACGAGCCCTGCCAAGGCCTACCTCAAATCCTACGTATCCTTTTACCTAATAATAGTGCTTCAAAACGTTATTTTATATTTTGAGAAGAAATATTGGCGTGCGAAGCAGCAAGTTGAGTATATTTTAGAAGTAACATTGGGTAAACAGTTTTACACTGGAACATTTAATAGGTATTATTTCATCATACTGATTGGATAATGTTTTATGTAATTAAGTCAAGAATTCTCTAAAAAAACAAATAGAAAGAATAACTGTAAATATGTTTAAACAATCAGAAAATAGTGCTAAAGGAAATAAATAAAACTGGACACTTGAGCCATCACCAGATGAGGATATGAAGGACACAAATATTTACAGAGGATCGGGAGGTGAGGAAGTAAAAGGAGTCGGCCAAACAAGGGATTAATCAATCCTTCCCTGTCAATATTATTACAGCGACAAATAAGCTAGTGTTCCTGAGGGTTCTATATTTCTATCCAGCGGCATCTTATACACTAGGATAAAATCTTTAACTCAGAATCTTTTATGAATAATCATTATACACAACGCACTTAGTTAATCAATTTATTTCAATTCGTAATAATGTAATGAATAAGGATTAACTCAGTGAGTGGCCGTATATTCAAAGGCCAAGGTTCGAGTCCGGCTGAGGCAGATATTTATTTGTTCTGTTTCATCAGTAATGGATCGATCCTAGGCTTGGGAGACCTCTTAGGGGCACTACAAGCCTCAATAATTAAATAATTAATATGAGAGTGAGCGTGATACCGGTCTAATAACATTCCTCCACCAATCACTGTTCTAGAAACAGTGTATCCTCACAAGGTACTGAACCCAAATCCATCATGGATTAAAGTGGTACAGCCTGCTATAATACCACAGTACTGGTCCATTTTCCGCCCTCAGGAGCGATGGGTTTTGGTAGACATGATATCAAATGGAAAGGGATTTCATAGGGCATTGATAAATCCTCATTTCAAACCTTAAATTCTTACAACTTTATAATCCTTGGTACAGACCCCTTTTTATCAAATTATTAAGATCCGGCTGAAACTGGCTAGAGCACAAGGTCGAGAAAAAAGATGGCCTTCAAAAATATTGGGCCTTGTTATTTTAATAATTTGGGGGTGTAGATCACGCCAAACGGGTCAATATTTTTTAAGGCCACCTTTTTTCTCGTTTTGTGCTCAAGTTACCTTACGATTTAAGCTGTAAGAAAATAGGTATTTACGAATTTTTAGTAACCAATCAAATAGACAAAGTTTGCCGACCTCCATATTGAAAACACCCAAACTCCAAGAATTTTTGTAAATAAAATATTTGTAGATTACGATGAGATGAAGCTGTCAGCCGGATGTTAATAATTTGATAAAAAGGGGTCTGTACCACAGAATATTAGTAAAATTCATTCATATAATTTGAAGATGAAACTGAAATGGTTTTAAAAGTCGATACATCGAATCGATAATTCTTCGAAACTATCAGCACTGTGATTTAAACTCCGAAATTGTACAGTATTTCAGGTAAACAATAATTCTTGATGAAAGCCTCTAGTCAGGGTTTTCCGACAGCGAGTATATTTATAGGTTGTCTTGAGTGCAGGCATCGTGTTTTTGTCATTATAAATTGTAGGTAGGTTACTGCTTATAAATTTATAAACAAAATGTAAATAGTACCAAATACATATGTATCTTTCTCAAACTAATGAAATATATTTCTATAAAAAAAGGTGAATACTTCAAGTGCTATGATTGTTTTAATTTTATATAGTTTTCTTATATAAACATTTTCAAATTAAAATTGAAAATTAATTAAAAGCGACATGAGCTATTACAATTTATAAAATGAGTTAAATGCAATGCTAACAACAGTTTCATTCATATTTTCTACTATCAAAAAAAGAAATTAATCAAAACAATGGTAGTGATATTATATCGATAAATGAACTATTATTTTTAGAGAATGACTGACCATACTGTGAGTCACAATAAACCAGATATCCTCCTGATAGATATGAAAGAGAAAAAAGCAGGGTTTATTGATGTCGGGATCCACAATGATAATAATATAAGCTCCACTGTTGGAGAAAAACTGAGTAAAAACCAGGAACTGTCAATAGAATTGAAGGAATTATATCATTTGAGGAACGTCACCACCA